GAAATGGTAGGTGAAAGCTTTTGGCTAGGTGAGTTTATTTACCTTAAAGAAACCTCAATTAGCCTAGCAAATTTCCTTGGATGGGCGATTTTTGACGTAAAACTAGGGCATTTTTCTTCTATTATAAAAGGAAAATGATTTAGATTTGAATGGACTCTCTCTCTCTAAACTCAAACTCTCTCTATTGCTTTGGAATTTAAGCTTGGTGCTATGAGAGAACTTGCTCCCATTGTTCTTGATCTTAAAGAATGGAAGTTCAATCAAGTGATGGAATCATTTTTTAATCTTAAATTGACACTCTTTAGTGTATGAGTTAGGGGTGTTCAAATTGTTAAATTGAACTAAACTAAAAAAAAACTAAACTAAACTATAATAAATAGTTCACAAAATTAAATTGAACTAAAATAAATATTGAATAAACTAAACTAAACTATTATCTAGTTTAGTGCACTATAGTTCTAGGAGTTTGAACTAAACTATAATATCAATTAAATTAAACTATTATTAATTATAAACTAAATTGAACTACATTAAAAAAAAATTTAAAATCAACATTTTTAAATTGAGCTACCAAATCATTGATATTAATTATGAATTAAATTTAAAATAGTTTGAAATGTAAAACAAGTATAATATTGATAAAAGTTCACATGATAGATTTTTCATTCATATTTTTTGAAAATCAATCAAATCTTATTAATTTTTAATCAATTTACTGATCTTATTAATTATTAAATAAAAAAATTTAAAAACGATATCTAAATATTACATGTAACTATTTTTTTAAGTTAATACGTTCTTTACAAAATAGTATGAATTTTAAAAAATATTATAAAAATGTATACCGTTACTTTTATAATGTTGTAAACTCAATTGTTAAAATCAATTAATTAATATTATAATTTTTTTATTAAAATAATAATATTTTTTAGCATAAAAAATAAAATTATTTGGATAATAAAGAGAGAAGTTTGTACATACATATATAATACATTTTTTTTCATATACTAAACAACAGAGTGTGTATAGTGAGGAAGCTTAAGAACTTTTCTGATTTGAAAAATAGAGAAACTGATATGCCCAAGCTCAATACAGAAGATCCAGTACAAGCTATTTCCACTACTGCTAGGCCCAAGAGAGTTACCAACAAACCCAAGAAGTGGTCAGATTTTATCTTTTATAAATATAAAGGAAAATCAAATGATTCAGCAGCTTCCGGAAACAATTTGTTACGATTCTGCTATTGCTTTATTGTTTGTTGTGGGTTATGCGTGAGCATTGTGAGGTTTCTATGTAGTGTTGTATGTTTGACACAGGCAATGAGAATTCAGTCATTTTCTTCCCTATTATTCTCTTTTAGGAGACCATCTGTCCTCAAATTCAGAGTCTGTTAAAATCACATCAGAAATAATTACATGAATCTTGATATAGATTTTAACATGTTGATTTTACTATATTTTTAATTTTTTATCGACTTACTATGTAGAAATTAAAAGATTGTCATGAAGTTTGTGTATAAGACTATGAATGTGGATGTAGTTTTTGAAACTCATCCTGTATGTTGGAGGCACTGTAAGATGGAGAATTAGAAGTGTGAAATTTTGGCCTAGCTAATAATTTATAGCCGAGTTGCACACCCAAATTAGCCCAACAAATCCTAAAATCCAGCTCAAACATGAAATGGTAGGTGAAAGCTTTTGGCTAGGTGAGTTTATTACCTTAAAGAAACCTCAATTAGCCTAGCAAATTTCCTTGGATGGGCGATTTTTGATGTAAAACTAGGGCATTTTTCTTCTATTATAAAAGGAAAATGATTTAGATTTGAATGGACTCTCTCTCTCTCTAAACTCAAACTCTCTCTCTTGATTTGGAATTTAAGCTTGGTGCTATGAGAGAACTTGCTCCCATTGTTCTTGATCTTAAAGAATGGAAGTTCAATCAAGTGATGGAATCATTTTTTAATCTTAAATTGACACTCTTTAGTTTTCTAATTAATTATTTACAACATTTCCTAGTTATAAGTTTTTTTAATAGTTAAAGTGCACTAAACTAATTTTTATAATAGTTTAGTTTTTAAAATTAAACTTCAAATATAGTTTAGTTTAGTTTTTATAAAAATTAGCTTAATTTTTTATAGTTTAGTTTAGTTTAATTTTTACAATAGTTTAATATAATTTTTTAAACACCCCTAATAATAAGAAAGCGAAAGTGAAGTGAAGCCCACTTTTTATTATGCCCAGTCTTTTGGGCCTTGGCTCAAAAAGAGGAAGTGCGATTGGACCAACCAGTATTGAAGACTCTCTTCTGTTTTCCCTTCTTCCTGTGTTTAGGTGTGTATCATCGGAGAGTGAAGATTCAGTTTTCGATTTTCCGATTCGCTTAAGTGTGCGAGTGAGGAACATGGACGGTGCCGAATTGCCGAACATAAAGAAATGGATCGTGATGTATCCTGTTTACATAAATTCCAAGAAAACGATGGCCGAAGGAAGACGCATTGGTCTCGCGAAAGCATGCGAAAACCCTACTTGCGCTGAAATTGGTGATTGCTGCAGCTATCTTAAACTTCCTTTTGCAATTGAGGTTCGTTCTATTGTTGTTATTTTAATCTTGGATTATTATTTTTTATTGCGTTTCATTTAATTTCTGCGAAATTTATTAATCGTAGAACTTCACAGATAGACAAGGCGTACCCTCGTGATTTCATGCAAAGAGGGCGCGTGAGGGTGTTGCTGAAAAAGGAGGATGGGACTCTGTTTAATTCCTCCATTTCATCAAGTAAGATGTTATTGTCTGTCAAATTAGATTTATACGTTTATTTTTTGTATATACACCTGAATCGATGTTTTACTTGGATAGGAATGTAGTCAATGTACAGTTGTTAGTGTCTTGATTGCCAGATTAGGTTTTTCTTGCTGAGGATAGGAATGTTTTTGTTGTTGAAGCCTAGCTAGAAGGTTTCTGTAATGTGTTTTTGTTGTTGAAGCCTAGCTAGAAGGTTTCTGTAATGTACGATTGTCAGTGTATGATTCCCAGGTTTTGATGTCTTTTCGCAACTGTGATGTTGGCATTCACTTGCCGATTGAGTTTGAACTGTGTTAGAACCCAAAACAAATTGTCAGGCCCCAAAGAGCAATTGGTCCAACAATTGTCACATGGACCCAAGGTCTGGAAGGTTTACACTAGGAGCTGGGGTGCTATGCTGGTGGAGAGAGAAAGGAGAGTAACAGTTTCGGGGGTTTTCTGTTATCAAATAAGAAGGTGGGTGTGTGGAATCATTGTGTTAGTTATAGATGGAGAGCAGTAGCTCTCTATAGGAGTCTCGCGTTGTGGCGGTAGGAATATTATTTTCTACTGTAATTTCGTCTTTTCATGGATAATGCATACACTCTAGCTCTTTGTTGTTTTTTTTTTTACTGTTTAATTGATATGTGGTGACTCTGGTTTCTAAGACACTGACAGCTTAAATTGTCTGTTTATAAAAATTTATGAAAAAACACTGACTTCAAGTGAAGATACTTTGTATCTGTCAGTTAGATCATTGGGTCTGTCTATATGTATGGAACATGGTGTGGAGTTGAGCTAGATTTTCTACTGGCAATCTAATTGTATTCTACTTGTATGGCTTGGGACTGGTCACTATAATCTAAACCCTAAACTTAGAGTACTATTGGTACTAGGAAATTAGATTTGGGTAGAAATTAAGAGTTAGACTGGTTTAATTTTTTTAGCCTTTAATTTATCTATAAAAATATTAATGGAAGATTGAGAAAAAGTTGTGTACTTGTATGTGTAGAGTTATGCTGAATTATTTGCGAAGTGACAGTAAACTCTTATTGTTTTTCCTCTTGGGAAAAGTAAACTAAAAAAGAGGGGAAAAGGTTCATTTGTTTTCAGGTGTTTTCCTCTGGTTTTGAAAGGTGGAAGATAAAACGAAACTCTGTTAATATCTATATGCACTGGCATATATAAAATGATGGACGAATAAGTAGTAACAGTTTTCTGGTTTTGGTAATTTTGTAGGTTCCTTAGATATCATAGCTATTAGATACCAGTTCAATTTAGATTGAGAAGTATGGTATGTGGTGGAGTTTTGGAAATGGAAGCATGAATAATTTTTTATAGTACATAAGGTCTGATAAGAGTATACTGGTTATACTTATAGTTGACAATTTTTATGTGTTGTGCATAAATTTGCTTTAGTCCTGCCTCTTCACTTGTAGACAGAAGTATAATATATCCATTACATGATCATCTAGCTTGGCTCTCTTTTTAATCCTTCAGACAGAAGTGTAAGCAACTCGAGTTTTTCAAAACTTTAAAGTTAAAATTGTGTTTAATCCTTTCCTTAACTGTTAGCAAATCAATCCATCTATTTTGAAGTCTTTTTGTAAGCTGTAGATCCAGATCCAGATCCAGATCCACGTCCAGGTCCAGGTCCAGATGTGTTGTATTCTAAATTTCTAATATATCCATTACACGATCACTTGGACCATTCATACCTCCCCAAAAGGAGAAACTTTGATCATCTTTTATTTGGTTTTGTCAAAATGAAATTCATGGAAATTTACTTACAAACAGAGAGATAAGTCTGATATTAAGTAGGCCAGAGTTTGTCTTGTTTAAGTGAATTTAAATAGATTGTTGATAGATTCATTAAAAGGAAGATTCCTTTGCAGTTCATATTACTAACCTCTGTTTATACTCATATTTGACTCCAAACCCTAATTAGATAAGGTGGTAAAGCATATAAAATTTGTTCATTGTCGTACTTGAACATATTTCAAATGTTATTATGAATATTTTTAGATAATGCAAAAGAGTTGTTGAATGAGGTTAATGAATAGTGGTGGCTACATTTTAGACCTTTTAGTACATGTTTGAAAATGATTGTTATAAAGTAATCACTTATTTTTCCAATGTTTTCTCAAGAAACTGACAAAAATTATCAACTTTAAAATAGGCTGACCCAAATATAGCCTCAATGTCCTTGACAACGTAAAAGCAATTACTTTTTTTTCCCCTTGTAAATATCAGGTGTCAGAATGTGAAGAAAGTTATCCTCTTGTAATTGCATAGATATAATGAATCTGAAATATCTCATGCTTTCTTTTTTTTGCAGGAAAGCAACTAATGTTACGGGTTGCAGAGATGGTACCTAGGCATCATGGAAGGACTAAGAAGCAGGAGACTGCATCAACATCGTCAACTGCTGGACCTTCCACCAAATCTGGGAAGGGTGGGAAAAAGAGGAGATAATTGCTTGTTTGAAACATTGTCGTACATGTTGATATTTGGAGTGTCATGCTGGATGTGTTGTTTATTATATTAGGACTAATTACTGCCGACTAAGTCAAATTGCTTTGCCACCTCAATAGGTGTTTGTTAACTTTTGCACACTATAAACAGTTTTGCGCTTGGTCTTCTACATTATATGCTTATTGGACATTTTTTATGGAGTGCTTCTGGGAGGGTGGGGGACCTTTCCCAAGTTAATAAGGCCTCAATCTGACCCGGGCTTCCCATCTTGTTATTTCTTATATCCGTCCGTTTTGAAAATACCTAAATTATCCTTAATATCATTCTCCATCAGTATTCATTAGTTTTAAAATTTCAGATTTAGTCTGGAATGTAATTTTCAAGTTCCGTATTAAATATTTGAGAATTCATTATTTTTAAAAAATATCCAATCTGGAACACACTTAATTAAATTTCGGATTTTCCATTCTGAAATAACTTGCATGTTTTGGATTAAATATTCTAGATTTTTTTTTCTCGAGACACTCAATTCAGAATACAATGAATTAAGTTTCAGATTTCCTATTTGGAAGCATAATGTACACTTCGGAATATGTAATAGGCTTGAGCATAATTCTCCGATCCGACTGAAACCGAAGTTATTCGTGGGCATTTTTTTTATTTCAGGTGGTTATTTTCAGATTTTTGGAATTTTGGATTGGTTGGCTCGATTTGAAATAGATTTTGTTGGTTGGGTTTGAATTCAAATATTTGAAACCGTCGGTATTCAAACCTGACCGACACATGACAATTAAAAGGTATGTTGATTTATTCCTTATAATTGTAGAAACTAGAAGTCAAAACCCTAGTGTTGCTAGCACCGTAAGAGTAGTCGTGTGAATCCTAGCACAGTTCATTCATCCCCGTCTACCATTGGATAATCATTTGTTCCTCTTTGTCTACTGCCACGAATACGATCTACTTATCTCCTTCAAACACCGCAAAGAACAGGTTTGTTTGTCTTCTCCCTTATCCGTGGAGATGTTGCTGGGAGCAATTGAACCAAAGCAGCAACATTGCTCCTGTCAAGAATAGCCAAAACATTCTTCTCATCTTCTTTCATAACATCATAAAGTTTGTTTAAGGCTTTATGCTTTACTTCCAAGTGACCAATCTGAAGGCGCGCTAGTAGTTCTCCCAATATGACCCAGTTTGATTAAACCGATTTGACTAATCTGATACCCGACCAACCCGAACCCAATAAACCCGAAACACTGTTACGGTCGAAAATGGGTTGTTTTTTTTTTGGTTGGTTTGGATTGGGCTAAATATTTTCAACTTGAACTTGTCCGAACCCGCCCGTGCTCAGGCCTAATAAGTAACTCAAAAACTATTAAAATACCTTAATTCTAATGGGAACTTTTTAACATGCTCGGAAAATAATAATCCATATGTCATATCAAGCAAATTTATCCGTTTGACAATCAACATGGTGCATGATGTGAAGATTTTAAGCAAAACTTGCAAACATAGATTTTGGAAAAAACTTGAATTCCCTCGAATATTTTTGGAACAAAACCATTTTTGAAGAGATGAGGTGTATACCGAGTGGGTTTGGATGGGTTTCAGTCCAAAAAGTCCTATTCAATGTAAACCGAACCCTAGAAGAGGTTTTTTTTTAATATTTTTTATTTTTATTATTATTATTATTTTTTAATGATGTCCTCATTGTAACATTTAATAATGTTAATGTCCCTTTTCAAATTACTAGACAAAATGTCCTTCTTAACTGCATTGAGAAGTCGGGAACGGGGATCCGACATCTCAATGCTTTTTTTAATAACTTTTTTATTTTTAATTTATAAAATATTTTTTTAATATAATAAATATATTTTTTTAATATGTAAATATAAATTAAAATAAAATATATTATTATATTATTTATATTATTTAAATATATAATATATTTTAAAAAATATTAAAATAAATTTATTTTTTTTAGATAAATTTTTTTAGGATTATTATAAAAGTTAATTTTGTGTAATTAATGTGTATGATATTTTAATGAATAAATTATAATAATATTAAAAATATTTAAGGCATAAATTAAATTTAAAGGATAAAGAAAAGTTAAATATTATAAATAACAAAAAAAAAATACATGATTTTTTTTTTGAATTTTTATTAACCAAACATATATATAGAGTTTGTTTAAGGCTTTATGCTTTATTTTTAAGTGACCAATCTGAAGGCGCGCTAGTAGTTTTCCCAATATGGCCCAGTCTAATTAAACCGATTTGACTAATTTGATACCTGACCAACCCAAATCCAATAAACCTGAAACACTGTTACGCTCAAAAATGGGTTATTTTTTTTTGTCGGTTTGGATTGGGCTAAATATTTTCAACCCGAACTTGTCCGAACCCACCCCGTGCTCAGGCCTAATAGGTAACTCAGAAACTATTAAAATACCTTAATTCTAATAGGAACTTTTTAACATGCTCGAAAAATAATAATCCATATGTCATATCAAGCAAATTTATCCGTTTGACAATCAACACGGCGCATGATGTGAAGATTTTAAGCAAAACTTGCAAACATAGATTCTCGAAAAAACTTGAATTCCCTCGAATATTTTCTAAAAATATTGCAATAAAAATTTTAATGTATTATAATTATATAAAAAAAACATTATACTTAATCTCTATTTGTTTTTAAAATATGGTAACTAGAAATTTAGACTATTATTTTAAGAATAAGATAATAATAATAAAATTGAGAGTATTGTATCAGAAATTTAGAATATTACACTTAGATTGGTCTTCGATACATTGTTGTGGTTGAGTGTGACCCACATTGACATACAACTTAATACAGATGAGGTTACAATGATCGGTGAATATAGAGAATATTGTTTGCACCTTTTCATCGTCATTAAGTTTCCATGCCTTGTATTAAGTACAATCCTCAACAGTGGATACAAGACATCAATAATAGATATCACTTACTACATTCTCATTAAGAGGGTTACTCTTATTTTGAATGACCTATTTCAAGGCATCAAGTGTCATGTCATGATAGAGGTAGACTGGCTTTATGTCTTTACTGACAAATGATATTGAACCATGCTTTGTACTAATCATTTCCCTGTTAAAATAAACAAGGGCACAAATAGAGGACAAACTCATAGTAAACAAAGTTCATGTAGTGTTTGGTGTTTAAATGATATTATGTTGTGTGTAGACAAAGGTAGGCTAATATCTATATTTATGGGCGCTAGGAATTCTATAGGCTTTTGTCCTCAGTGGGAGGAAAAGAGTAGCTTAGATGAAAAACATACAAACTTCATTATTGTTCAAGCGTTAGGAATCTTATAGGTTTTCGTCCTTAGTGGGAGGAAAGAGAACGACTAACATTGCACCAATGATTTAAATGGCTTAGATGACAAATGTATAGACTTCATTACAATTCAAAAGTCAAGAATCTTACATGTTTTTGTCCTTAGTGGTAGGAAAATGAGCAGCTAAGATTGCATCAATGATTTAAATGACTTAGATGGCAAATGTATAAACTTCATTATTGTTCAAGCGTCAAGAATCCTATAGGCTTTTGTTTATAGTGGGAGGAAAAGGAGCGGCTAAGATTGCATCGAAAATTTAAATGACTTAGATGACAAACATACAAACTTCATTACTGTTCAAGCATCAGGAATCCTACTACCTTATGTCCTTAGTGGGAGGAAAAGAAGTGGCCAAGATTACACTGACGGTTTAAATGGCTTAAATGACAAACATACAGACTTCATTACTGTTTAAGCGTCAAGAATCCTATAGGCTTTTGTCCTTAGTGGGAGGAAAATGAGCGGCTAAGATTGCACCGAAGATTTTAATGATCAAGGTCACACAATCATTTCTATAAATAAATATCCTTTTTCCACTTAGAAACATAAACAAACAATTGTTATCGAGTTCACATATTTCCCCTTACAATACATAACATTTCTTGACTTCATGGTAACATCAATGGCTAACCCACATTTGTTGAGGGAACAATATGTTCATAAGGCTGGTCGCATAACCTCAATGGTAACTCATGTTACATTCAATCATGTATAATTTGTACTAATGATTTTTTTTTAATCTATAGAGTCCGGCAGATGATGTCTTGCAAGCATACTACCATACAATCTCCTCTCCAAATCCGCTAATTATATCATTGTTGGAACAAACTAGATTCAAACAAATCTCACTCATAAGATAGTGTAAGATAGATCATTCACTGATCACAACACTAGTAGAGAGATGGAGACCTGCGACATACATATTTCATCTACCATGCAGTGAATGCACTGTGACATTAGAAGATGTGGTGCTACAACTAGGAGTTAGGGTGGACGAAAGAGTGGTTATTAGACCTAGTTATCTAGATTGGGATGAGTTGTGTGAAAGACTTTTAGTTGTGATTCCTCCAATTGGAAAGCGAAAAGGGTCCGCAATTAAACTAGTGTGGTTGAGAGAATTCCTAAAAGAAGAACTACCAAATGAACCAACCCAATTTCAGTTACAAGTCAATTGTAGAGCCTACATAATGTGCCTAATTATGGGTGTTATATTGTCGAACAAACTAGTCAATAGAGTTCACTTTATATATCTAAACTTATTAGTAGATTTTAACAATATTAGACGCTATAGATGGGGATCAACATATTTGGAAACATTATGTAGAGAGATGTATCTAGGAAGTCTTGTAGGTGTATGAGTTATGGGTGGGTGTGCATTGTAGTTACAATCTTGTGCATGGTATCACTTGCCTTTCATGGTACCATGGGTCAATCATTGATGGAATCCTTGTTGCATAAAAGGGAGAAATGTGAGCAATAGGAAGGACTCCTTGACTCCTTGGATCAAAGCTCTTCAAGAGGGCGAGTTCTTGGAAGAATGGATGAAAATGGATGATGAGGGAAATGTGTTTGATGGAAGGCTTGAAAGGGTACTCTAGGGTTTGGCTCACTCCATGGGTGATCAAGGCCACTTCTAGGGTTTTCTCTCAAGGTGGAGATAGGTAGGGTTTTTGGCCAAAAATAGACCAAGAGAAACTAAGGAAATATAAAGGGACAAAAGACTTGCTCTATATTGATTTTCAAAGTATTTACAAGGTGGATAGTCTAGGGTATTTATAGAAGGGAGGATGCATTTAGGGTTGCATTTGAGAGTGCATGGCCGAGTAATGCAAGCCAAATGCACTTCAAATAAAACTTAAATTAATCGTAGATGCTACTTGGTGGCCAAGGATGAAATTTTTGGGTTGGGTTAAGCTACAACTAGGTGCATGATAAGACCATGCAACCTAGGTGCCCTCCACTTGGGCCTAAGCCTTGCCAGGTCCAAAAATAAATCCAATGCTCACCAAAAACACGTTTAGCCCTAGTTTCCAACCCTAATAAATTACCCTAGTTACAAAATAAAATCCTATAATCTAAGGAACCCTATAATACAAGGGTAAAATGAGAAATACAAGTAAAAATAAATCCTATGTCTAAGGTACCCCAAAAATACAAGGGTAAAATGGAAAATTAAAGATAAGGGCAAAATAGGAATAAATCCTATACTAATAAAAACTTAGGAGCTAACGCCCAAAAGTAGGCCCACTCCTCTTATGGTTTTCAAAACTAACCCATTTCTCTTGCCTCCTTCAATATATCACCTCTTGGTCTTCTTGGCCTTAGTGTGATTCCATCAATCATCCACAAGGATTATATCCTCTTACAATTAGGTATATAAAATTTAAACACTTTTGTTCTTCTTGTTGTTAATATTGCTTTTTTACTCACGTCATATATGTTGTAACAAATGGGGTGGTGGGGGGTTGAGGCATAAGACACCAAAAAATGACCTAGTCAGGTATAGGTCAAGAATTGATCATATGCAAATTTTAGAGGTATATATATATATATATATGTGTGTGTGTGTGTGTGTATGTGTGTGTGTATATGTATATATATTTTAATTAGTTAATTATCACATATTAAGACATTAATATTTATTCTTAATTTTACAATTTCTTTGGATGCCTTATAAAGGCCGTGAAAGTGTGCAATCAAAAAATAAATTAAAAAATTTAACAATGTGGAGCGCTTGTACCCGTTTAATTTGTTTGACAATGGTTAAATGGAAAAAAGCAGATAGGGTAAAACTCCAATTTGTTTTATGCTAGGATATACCATAATTGCCTATAAATTTGTATCAACAACATGAGACATCCATGCAAGGAAATGCTTACAATAAATGGGTAAAAGAACATGATCACTAGATCCAACAATGGATGGAAAACCAACAAAATGTTGTAGTAGGGCAACCCGTCAATGATCACTTATCCCATACAGATGAATATATAGCATAGTATAGACAAAATATAATTCTTTATTTGTCTGTACCCCAACAATTACAAGATCCACAAGCTGTAGAGAACATGGGTGTTGGCCAAATGCCACAAGAGCCAATAGAAATGCCAACACAACAAGAATATCCACAACAAAATGCAACTCCAAATCACAGCCTCATTATTACCAATGATATGCAAAATGATGGTTGGGAACCACAATGTGTTGAGATGATGGAGGTTGTTAGAGATGATAGGACATCTTGAAGACTCCTAAAGATTGTTTTAGTTTTGATGATGTATTGTACAAATGTTGCTTAAGCCTATGCAAACGGATATTGTATTGATTGTAATAGATATAGGCTTGTGTGTGTGTTTATTTATTCAAGGACTAATCAGGCTTTTTAAGAAACCAAGAAATTAATTTTTTAGTATTTCCATGTATAAACATAAAGTAATAGATTATCATGAAAAAGTAATTTACTACCAAGTGTTTAAACATAGAAATATGACTTGATTCAAACAGGATTTTTCAAGGTAACATTATTAATCAATTACCATTCAGGATAATAGATTACCAAGTCTGTTACTGGAAAAAAGATATTCAAATGTCCTCTATGTTAATAGATTATCAATTCTATTACTAGAAAAGGATTTGCAAGTGTTTTCTGAGGTAACAGATTACCAGAGTTGGTAATAGATTAAAACAAACTCTCTTGCTTGAAACAAGGCTAAAGAACCAAACTTTTCATCAGGATAATCGATTACTGTCGCAATCCGAAAATTTCCGATCTCGCGACTAATGGTTTAGACATCCTTTTAAAAGTCTCATCAATTAAGGAATGCCCGGACACCAGACTAATCCTTAATTAATGGTTTTGAAAAATGAATTAATGGCGTAGACACAAATGTTTTACTCAAAAAATTGGAAAAAGCAAAGGTTTTTAAAAGTCCAATAATGGCCTTGATAACCAGAATTGGGTTCGGGGGTCGGTTACGTGCAGGGAAAGTATTAAACACCTCTACAACGCCCTTAATTGGTACCCTATGATGAAGTTCCTCTACAGCAGGATGTTCCCTACAGCAAAAATCTGGATCATTAATCAAATTTTCTCATTTAATCATTGTGCAATAACTAATCAACTGTCGTGATTTGGCTGCATGTTGGATGCAGAGGATCTATATTGGAATTAAGTATTTTTATCAATATTCTTATTATACTCACTCCACAATCAATCAGTTCATTTATCCAATTTGCACCAGAAATGAAAAGACTCATTCTCATTATTCAGTCCATCCAAAGCAAGGCAAGAACAGTTCATTAATAGGTAACTGTCTATTTGCACAGCAGCAAGGCCCACACTTCCAGCAGCACCCAAAACCAGCAACACCTGCAACACAATTCCACAAAATACAACATTCTAATTATTTATCAGAAGAAATGTTAACACCAAATTTGGCAGAGCCGTCTACTGGGAAATGAAATTCCAACAAAGGATGCTTGAATAATTCAAATATAATGTCACAGTTTAGTTTGAGGCCTAAAAGTTCACCAAGGCACACAAAACTTTGGACTACCAAATAAATTAGGAAATGTTTTATAAATATTTCCAACCTTGATGCTAAAGGAAAACAAATATCAAAACGGAGGTCTTCCTCAAAAAAGTAATGTTTATTTTAAACACAAAACAAAAATAAAATGAAAGAAAAACTGGAAACATAATCCTCCTCGCCAAAAAATTCAATTCAAATAACTATTAAACTCAACCCAAAATTATTCCTCCTCGCCAAAAACAACCTAAAAAGGGAAACATAATCCATCCCCTTCTCTCCCTTTCAAATCCCTCCAATACTAAAGGGAAGTTAAAATTAGATAAAATAAAAAAATAAACCAAACAATAAAAATTTTATAAAAAAATCTTCACTGTCTCCCAATTTCCTTCCAACCAAACACAAAGTCAGAAACCCAAAGCATCAAAGACAAATAAACACGAAATTTACAGATAATACTAAAACAAAAATTTTAAAAAATAAATAAATAAACAGTATTTCAAGCAAAAACTGCAAAATTAGATCATACATAACTTGAAAAAAATGTTAAAATGGAAAAATTAAAGCACCAGAGACAAATAAACCCGAAATATAGAGACAAAACTAAAAAAATCAACACACTAAAGTTCGACTAGTAGTGAAGTACTTGATTAGTTTGCTCGAGGTTCTTGTTCGTATCCGAGAGGGCTTCTGGACCTATCGGAATTGTCGAAGACGATGGAGACGGTGGCTTTGGTGATTCCGGCTTGGCCCTGCTTGTAGACGAGCTCCTGGAGGTTGGAAGCCCTAACCTGCTGCAAGTTGGTGATGCCGAGGACGAAGCAGATCGAGTCAAGGATGTTGGACTTGCCGGAACCGTTCACTGTGTTTAGGTGTGTATCATCGGAGAGTGAAGATTCAGTTTTCGATTTTCCGATTCGCTTAAGTGTGCGAGTGAGGAACATGGACGGTGCCGAATTGCCGAACATAAAGAAATGGATCGTGATGTATCCTGTTTACATAAATTCCAAGAAAACGATGGCCGAAGGAAGACGCATTGGTCTCGCGAAAGCATGCGAAAACCCTACTTGCGCTGAAATTGGTGATTGCTGCAGCTATCTTAAACTTCCTTTTGCAATTGAGGTTCGTTCTATTGTTGTTATTTTAATCTTGGATTATTATTTTTTATTGCGTTTCATTTAATTTCTGCGAAATTTATTAATCGTAAGATCGAAACTTGCTTTTTTCTGCTATTTTCTTAAATGCTTCGGTTTTTTCAACGTGTACGAAGCTTTCCTTTTTCTCATGTTGTTGCTTTTGCTATTTATTGTCATCATTGGTGGAGGGCTCCATTCCCATGATATTATTTGCTCAATCTTTATTGATGAGTATTATTTTGGAAGCCACTCCTGGCTTTGGTTAGGAAGTCATTCCTGGTTTTGGCATTCTCTTGGATTATCCTTCATTTGGTGAAGAGCAGGGCGTGATGGCCTCTTCATGCTTATAGGCTTGCTTGTTTGGTCGTTGAGCTTTTACGAATGCTTTGTCCTGACGACTCCCTTTGACCATGGCAAGTATAATGCATGGATGCATGGATGCACATAAAAACGCAAGATAGGAATGATTTTTTTTATTATTTGTTCTTTTTATTGTGTAACGCCCTTCCATATGCACATACCTCATATGCATGTGATGCAGTTTATGCTCATGTATTTGTTCCTAAACATGCAATTCAATTTTTTTGTTGGGAAATTAACCTGTGCGCATTAAGGTTAATGTTGACGATTCCTATTTATCCATGCATTTGTGATTATCGTCGGGATATGTTCTTTTGAACTCAAGTTCACAGATAGACAAGGCGTACCCTCGTGATTTCATGCAAAGAGGGCGCGTGAGGGTGTTGCTGAAAAAGGAGGATGGGACTCTGTTTAATTCCTCCATTTCATCAAGTAAGATGTTATTGTCTGTCAAATTAGATTTATACGTTTATTTTTTGTATATACACCTGAATCGATGTTTTACTTGGATAGGAATGTAGTCAATGTACAGTTGTTAGTGTCTTGATTGCCAGATTAGGTTTTTCTTGCTGAGGATAGGAATGTTTTTGTTGTTGAAGCCTAGCTAGAAGGTTTCTGTAATGTGTTTTTGTTGTTGAAGCCTAGCTAGAAGGTTTCTGTAATGTACGATTGTCAGTGTATGATTCCCAGGTTTTGATGTCTTTTCGCAACTGTGATGTTGGCATTCACTTGCCGATTGAGTTTGAACTGTGTTAGAACCCAAAACAAATTGTCAGGCCCCAAAGAGCAATTGGTCCAACAATTGTCACATGGACCCAAGGTCTGGAAGGTTTACACTAGGAGCTGGGGTGCTATGCTGGTGGAGAGAGAAAGGAGAGTAACAGTTTCGGGGGTTTTCTGTTATCAAATAAGAAGGTGGGTGTGTGGAATCATTGTGTTAGTTATAGATGGAGAGCAGTAGCTCTCTATAGGAGTCTCGCGTTGTGGCGGTAGGAATATTATTTTCCTCAATCTGACCCGGGCTTCCCATCTTGTTATTTCTTATATCCGTCCGTTTTGAAAATACCTAAATTATCCTTAATATCATTCTCCATCAGTATTCATTAGTTTTAAAATTTCAGATTTAGTCTGGAATGTAATTTTCAAGTTCCGTATTAAATATTTGAGAATTCATTATTTTTAAAAAATATCCAATCTGGAACACACTTAATTAAATTTCGGATTTTCCATTCTGAAATAACTTGCATGTTTTGGATTAAATATTCTAGATTTTTTTTTCTCGAGACACTCAATTCAGAATACAATGAATTAAGTTTCAGATTTCCTATTTGGAAGCATAATGTACACTTCGGAATATGTAATAGGCTTGAGCATAATTCTCCGATCCGACTGAAACCGAAGTTATTCGTGGGCATTTTTTTTATTTCAGGTGGTTATTTTCAGATTTTTGGAATTTTGGATTGGTTGGCTCGATTTGAAATAGATTTTGTTGGTTGGGTTTGAATTCAAATATTTGAAACCGTCGGTATTCAAACCTGACCGACACATGACAATTAAAAGGTATGTTGATTTATTCCTTATAATTGTAGAAACTAGAAGTCAAAACCCTAGTGTTGCTAGCACCGTAAGAGTAGTCGTGTGAATCCTAGCACAGTTCATTCATCCCCGTCTACCATTGGATAATCATTTGTTCCTCTTTGTCTACTGCCACGAATACGATCTACTTATCTCCTTCAAACACCGCAAAGAACAGGTTTGTTTGTCTTCTCCCTTATCCGTGGAGATGTTGCTGGGAGCAATTGAACCAAAGCAGCAACATTGCTCCTGTCAAGAATAGCCAAAACATTCTTCTCATCTTCTTTCATAACATCATAAAGTTTGTTTAAGGCTTTATGCTTTACTTCCAAGTGACCAATCTGAAGGCGCGCTAGTAGTTCTCCCAATATGACCCAGTTTGATTAAACCGATTTGACTAATCTGATACCCGACCAACCCGAACCCAATAAACCCGAAACACTGTTACGGTCGAAAATGGGTTGTTTTTTTTTTGGTTGGTTTGGATTGGGCTAAATATTTTCAACTTGAACTTGTCCGAACCCGCCCGTGCTCAGGCCTTACCACATGAGATAATTGATTACCACAGAGTGAAATACAATTCTAGGTCTTAAAAAGCTCGAGATAATCTATTACCAAATCCCGTAATCGATTACTCTGATAGTTTTATGTTCCTGGTTCAGTTTTAAAGAGCTGGTAACAGATTACCATATCAGGTAATAGATTACCTTTATTATTACTCTTTATAACTAAATCATGTCTTGTACTTTAAATATCTATCTTTATTGAAATTAAAAGAGAACTTTTCAGAGAATCTTTTTGAAAAAACAACATTAGAGAAAAAGATTACTTTCAAAAACAAAAATCGAAGGCTAATCAAAGAATTTTTCTAAAATACTAAGAGGTGCAAAGATTGAACATGAGTTCTTGAAGGAAGAAATTCAAGAAGTGAATTCAATTGTGAAAGATCAATGTCTACACGAAATTAGATGATATCTTTCTGATCTTTAACCTGTAATTTTCATTTTGTATGGTGTATCTCTTGAGATAGGGTGTCTCACTGAGGGATCTTGAAATCTTTAGTGGGATTTCTCAAGTAATTTCTGTGGGGTACAAAAATTTGTGTGTTTTTAGTCTTGTAGTGTCAAGATTGATGTATGTTTGCATTCTTGTAATATTATGTGTGCATGGTGTTTGTAAACAATATTATAGTGAATGATCGATTTAGTGGGGTGTTAAATCAGAGAAAATTAGATGTTGGCCAAGTGGATGGCTGAACCGGTATAAATTTCTTTGTTCTTTATCTTCTTACCTTTATCTCTTTAATAATCTTGTTAATTTCTTGATTAAAGAATTTAAAGATTTGTGAAATATGATATTTCAATTGCTACATATACTCTGAGTATTAATCTTATAATTGAAATTGATTAAGAAGAAAGTAATATAAAAGCAACCTTGATTACAACTAAATGATTTACTACGTTAACACCAATAATTTAGTATATTGGTCTTGTATCTTGTAATCTACTGTTATTTGTTAACTCAAATTATTTAAAGGTTGAATCTTGAATATTGTAGTTGGCCAATATCAATAAATTTCAAAAATAGATTCATCTTAGGCTAGAATCTATTCAACCTCTCCTTCTAGATTCTTGTCATCTGGGACCAACAATGTAATTCATTTGTTGTAACTCCACCACCACCACAACATTTTGATCATTATCATGACAATTACCAACACTCTTTAATAATTTTTTAATAATCTATCTAGTGCAAATGTTGGTTCTCCACAATTAGCTACAATATATTTGTAAAGTATGTATCCTAACAACGTTCCATTTTTTAACCAATATGAATCTTATATTTAGAAAGAGGAAAATACTCCTTCAGCTTATGTTGATGATTGCAATGAACCTGCATTACAAGATCAACAAATTGTTGATGATGAAAACAACCATACATGATATCCAAGACAAATTCATCTTTGTCACAATCCTTCACAAAACAAAAAACTGCCACCTTTTAAAATTGGTGGTCATCTTCGACATTGATATTTTTTAATTATTTTTTGTATTGCATTTTTTTAATGTAATTTATGCTTGAATAATTTAGAAATAAAAATAAGAGTCAATGAAAATTAATGACCTCTTAAAATAACATTTAAAGAGTTAGTAAAATAAATACAATATATTTAGAATCATTTTGAAGATTTTTTTAGAATTAATTCAAGACTTGAAAGTAATACTATTATATTCACTAAAATAAAATAAAATATGAGTATGAATAATTATTTGAACAAAAAAAAATCTCATAACATTAATAAAATTACACAAAAATTAACTTTTATGATAATCCTAAAAAAATTATCTAAATAAAAAAAATAAATATTTATTTTTAATATTTTTTACTTGTCCCATTAACATACAAATATAAAAATATCATGTTTATTATTCACAAATACTTATTTATATATAATATTCATTATTTTGTTTGTAGCAAATTTTATCTGCGAATATTCTACCTCTATATATATAACAAATAACAATACACACGGATCTTTGAAAAAAAATTGAGAATATTTTATGCATAATTACTTTTGTAGTTGTCAATTTTTAAACACTAATATGTAAATTATGCTTATAGGAAAAAATAAATTTTATACTTTTAATGATAAAAGAAGAGTGTGGGTATTATTCTTTATAAGAAATTCCTCTATGTCAAAATTACTTCATTTCATGTGGTGAAATGAAGAGGGAAATTTTTGCGCTATCCTCAAAATAAAGAAAGTACTACTTCGATTAAAAATAAAAATAAAAATAAATTATTATAATAATTAAATTATTTAAATAAATGATAAATTTTAATAATATAAAAATAAAATATTTAGTTTTTTTTTATTTAGATAAGTTTTTTTTATGATTATTATAAAAGTTAATTTTTTTTTACAATTTTATTAATGTGTATTATATTTTAATGAATAAAGTATAATTTTATAAAAAATATGTAAAGCATAAATTAAATTTAAAGGATAAAGTAAATTAAATATTATAAATAAAAAAATATACATGATTTTTTTATTTTTAATTATTCAAACATAA